TGCGTGGAGAGAGAACCCACGCCCTGCAAGTAACCCCTCATCTGTGCTCTGTGAGGAAACCCAATAAACTCAGTTCCCCGGAGTAAACTTTGTCTTGATTTGTCATGGTACCTTAGGAGAAAAGGTAGGTGTGGCTTGCATTCCCCAGACCCCAGTGAAGGGAGTGTAGCATCATGGGCACAGCACTGTTTTGAAGAGGATGAAAACACTTGTGGTCTGCTTGGTGATGATGACTATGCAATATCATGACTCACTGGATGATACACTGACCAGACATGTTACCTCATGTGCTTTATCATATTTTAGGAAGTTGAAATGGTAGGGTGAATGGACACATTGCTCTGGAGAGCATGTCCTTCAATGGATTTGCTACAGCCAGTGATGACAGTAGGAGCATATGGAGTATATGAAGGACAACCCCAGGGATGCTGGGCATGAAAACTGTTAAGCCAGGTGGTGGTGGCCTACACCTTTCATCCCAGTACCCAAGAGGCAGAGGCAGAGGCAGAGGCAGAGGCAGGCAGATCTCTGAGTTCAAGACCAGCCTGGTCTACAGAGCTACATAGAGAAACACTGTCTCAGAATACAAAAACAAAGTCACAAAACAACAACAACCAAAAAAAAAAAAAAAAAAAAAAAAAAAAACAAAACAAAAACCCTGCAAGTAAACTTCTGAGGTCTTAAGGTATCTATAAAAGTGAGGGGGGAAGCTGTGGCTTTATGAATGACCTCATTTCTGTGATGGAGAGAAATGTTGAGAAGGTCTGGGAAGTTAAAACCTACCCCACGCCTGAAGCCCTGCAGTCCTCAGGGGAAGCTGCCTGAGAGGGAAGAGGAGGGGAGCAAGTGCCCTCTTCCCAATTCTCTTAGAAAAACACTTTACAAAACAAATTCATATGGTGTCCTAGAACCCACCCTGGGGAGGGTTAGACATGGGCGGTGACGATGTCCATGCTTGCTCCATTATTGCCTTCTGCCCTGTGCAGGACACCGAGAAAACTTCCTGGAGCCCACAGGGACTAAGTCCTGAGAGCAGTGAGGACAGGGAGATGTGGCTGTCCTCCTTGGGGTCAGCCTTATTTATGGTCACAGGGAGACTGGGGTTCCCAGAGAAAAGCCCAAGGTACTGTCTAAAAGCTGACGTCACTGTTCTTTTAAGACAAAGACAAGAACCAGATGTTTGGGGGATTAACAGTGAGTCCAGATGTGCCGTGAACAACAAAGGCTGGTTATAGCCTGTAGAACAACAGCAGCTGTTCAGGTCTGGGCTAGCTGGAGTAGAGGACTAGCCTCTGGGAAGAGAGATGTGGAAGGATCCAGGTGTCTTCCAGCCTGGGGTGGTGGTGGGATGGTGGTGCCTCATGATCCCCACATGGAGACTGAAAGACTGTTGTGGTGACATTGTAGACTGTCAGGGTGAGACAGCAGAGCCCCAGAGCTATGTAGAAATCTTTGTTTCAGCCCCTTTGCATCCCAGCTGGGGGCACCAGGGTTTGGGGGAGCAATCTTACTGGTTTTCAGTGTGTTTAAGAGAGAGTGGATAGAGCCAGGTGTGAGACCACAGGCCGGGCTGTTCTCTGAGGTGAGAGTGGAGGTCTCTTTATTTGTGCAAGTCACTGCTTGATTGTTTTCCAGAATCCTTCCTGTTGTTGAGGCTTGTCTCTGTGCAAGTAACCCAAACCCTAACCTAGTGTGAGACTCTCTCTTACCATGCATAACCTTGGTCTCCAGCAGCTCTGACAGCGCCCAACACTGGCACCTACTTGGTACTAGGACTGTCCTGACAATGGGAAGTCAGTTCCTGAAGGGATTTACCAGGCAGCTTGGGGTCAGAAGGGGGCCTAGAACAAACTGGAGGTGACCTCACCCCTCTGGGTCAGGTGCACCTCCGTTTGGTGTACTTCCATGGTGGTTCATGACCGTCTGTAACTCCAGTTCCAAAGAATCTAACACACTCTTCTGGCCACTGTGGGCATCACGCATGCATGTGGTGCACAGACTTATCTGTAGGCAAGACACTCATACACATAAAGTAAAAATGGAATGTGCATGTTTGTATGTATTCATGTGTGCATGTGTGTGTATGCATTCATGTGTCTGTGTATGAGTGTATGTGTAGTGTGTGTTGTCTCTCTGTGTGTGCTTTTATATGTGTGTACACATGTGGTATGCATATGTGTGTCTCTGTAGCTGCATATATATGTGTGTATGCATGTGTATGGTATATGCATGCATGTATGTATGTGTAGATATGTTGTGTGCATGTATGCATGTGTGCTTGTGTGTGTATGAACATTTGCACATGCGTTTGTATGTGGGTGCATGTGTAGAGGCCACCTCTCTGTGTGTATGTGTATGTGTAGAGTCCTGAGGTGTGGTGTCGTCCTCAGAAACAAGGTCCACTTCTTTGAGACACTGTTTCTTATTGGCCTGAAGTTCACCAGTTGGGCTGAAATGGCTGGCCAGTGAGACTCCGAGATTTTCCTGTCTCTGCTTCACTGTACTGGGCTTAATTACAAGGTCAGCATTTTAGTATGTTTTCTGGGATCTGAGTTCTGAAAGAAGGGTTTTAAGTATGGCAACGACATGGCCAATGTGTGCCATAGCTTGTTTCACCAGAGGCAGGTCCAATAACAGAGCAGGCAATGCCTGTGAGAGGTGACTCCAGCAGGAGCGGGAAAGACAGCTAGGCAGGGCAAAGTGGACGAAGCATGTTTGGCTCACCCAGTCACCACTGATGGCTGGATAGAATTCAAGTCATCCTGGCTACATATCAAATTTGAAGTCAGACTGGACACCAGGAAATCCTATCTCAAAACACAGATAGTGGACTAGAGAGATGGCTCAGTGGTTAAGAGCACTTACTATTTTTGCAGAGGAACTAGGTTCAGTTCCCAGCACATGGTGGCTCGCAACTGTCCTTAACTCCAGTTCTAGGGGATCTGGCACCTTCTTCTGACCTCTATAGGCATCTGAATGCAAAACACTTATACAAATAATCTAAAAATAATAAATCTTTTAAAATACAAACAGATTCTTTTCTGTGCCTCTCAACATTGTGTCCCGGGTGAGTGCCAGGACCCAGAGGTCTGGCTGTCTTATTGCTGCTATTAACTTTTTGATGACAGTTAAATTCTTTGTTGGACAACAAAACAAAGAGGAAAAAAAAACTCACAAAATTCTATTTTTTTGGGGGGGTTGGTTTTTTGAGACAGGGTTTCTTTTTGTAACTTTGGAGCCTGTCGTGGCCTCTGCCTCCTGGATGCTGGGATTAAAGGCGTGTGCCACCACTGACCAGATGACCTCAGTTTCTCTACATGTGAAACCAGGAGGGCTAGCGAATGACCTTTCAGGGTTCATGGACTCTATCCCAGGTTCCCTTCTCTTATCATACAAAGGCTGGTGACCCCCTCAAACAGTCCTGAGGAAGAAAAAAACCATAGATTACCTTTGAGAGAAACCGAGGCAAGGTAAAGGTTCTGCTGAGTGAGTCCTGCCCCACCCCAGTTCTGTAGATCTGTTTTCTTAAAGGGGTTTGGCTACAACCACCTTTATTTTCACCCACAAGTAGTGTCATGTGTCAAGCTGTCAGGCAAGGTTTGCTGTGGTCTTGTTTGTATGTGGCTGAGACTAGAAAGATATAAGAACACTGGTTTCCACAGGCTTCTAGACCCTTCTGACCCTCCTGCTTGTTGGGGATTTAGGTCACTGCAATGCCAGAGATTGGGGATTGAGTCTCTGGCTCTCACATGCACCTCACAGTTTATTTTGTTGGGGATTTCAAACCCACTTAGGGTCTGTGTGGTTCCTCCAAGCCCCTTGGACTACAAACAGCCATGCATCGCCAAGTCCTGCCTCAGCTCCGATATGACTCCATTGCTGCCACAAAACTTGCCTGTGCTCCATGGCCTGTATCCCAGGCACATTAAACAAAAAGGGCATCACTTGATATCAGATCCTGACGTGCTGGCTGAGTAGGCTGAACTTGGAAGACTCTTTGTCTACCCTATTAGAACTACTGCTTCCCCCAAGTTGTGAAGCAGGAGAGAATTCATAGACTTATACAGATGGATTCTCTTGGAAGCTGAGGTTTCCGATGGGCAGCCCTGGGCTGGTGATAGCCTGCACACACAGACACACAGATGTGCATACACACAGATGTGCATCCACACAGATGTATACACAGATGTGCACACACACAGATGTGCACACACACACACAGACACACACATATGTGCACACATACACAGACACACAGATGCACACACGCACAGATGTGCACACACACAGATGTATACACACAGATGTGCACACACACAAATGTGCACACACATAGGCATACACTTTGTTTTACAGTCTGCCAGGTTGAGGCTCCTGATTACTTTAAGATGTAAGAACAGGTGGCTGGAGAGATGGCTCAGTGGTTAGGAGCACTGGCTGCTTTTCCATAGGACTTGGGTTTGGTTCCCAGCATCCACATGCTGGCTCATAGCCATCTGCAGCTACAGTTCCAGAGGACCTGATGCCTCTTCTGACTTCCTCAGATACCAGGTACACATACAAATGTGCACGCAAACACCCATACACATAAAATAAAAATAAATATTGAAGAGAGGAGGGGAGGTGAGAAGGGGCTGGAGATGGCTCAGTGGGTTAAGGTGCTTGTTGTCAAATCTGAGGACTTGAGTTAACATTCCCTGAGTTCGATGGTCAGAACCTACATGATGGGAGAAGAGAACTAACTCCTGCATGTTGTCCTCAGACTTCATACTTGTGCTGTGGCACACACACACACACATGCACACACACACACACACACACACACACACACACACACACACACAGAGGCACTCACGCACACAAATAGATAAATGTAAATAAAAGGAGTAAGAGACCTCTGGTCCTGGGCTTGCATTCTCGGAGTAGAGCTGCAGCAGCTTAAAGGCTACCCCTGCCAGTTCACCCCAGCCCCCCCTTCCACATTGTCTTTCAGCCAGAAATTGAATGCCCATCATCATTTATTACTGAGTTTATACTGCCATTTCTTGACTGAGGATAAGGTATTTTGGAGTTCCACATTACCAGCAAAAGTAGAAAAAAAGTTTGCTTATATTATTTCATATTTTATGAAACTGAGTCATCGGACATAGAACTCTATCTCTGGGGCATTATTTGTCCCCTCTTCTCTGCCACCATTCCACCAGCATGCATTATATCTATTGACCTTCTATCAAGCTATGTGCTTGATGTTACAGGCCTTCATTTGTCAGGAGCAGAATGAGGGACAGAAGGAACACAGGAATCGGGGCACAGGAGTCCTCTCTAACAGATGACCTTGCTCAAAGAGGCCTTAAAGCTTTGGGGACACAGCTTCCTGGCCTTAAGTTGGTCTCCTGGCCAGTGTTTGTACTGCGTAGCAGTAGATGTCAGGCTTGGTGACATTGGAGGCTGAAGTAGTGTGGACAGGGAAGGTCAGGGAAGCTCTGTTATATAAACTCAGTCACTTCAGTGAGAAGTTCAAGCCTCAGTCTCTATTAAGCCATTGTGGATTCCCTGAGAGAATTCAGTCGAGCACTCAAGTGCTTTCAGGGTGTGCTCATTTTATTGTTTGTTTTTTCGAAACAGGTCTCGCTATGTAGACCAGACTGGCATCTAACTTACAGAAAGCTACCTGTCTATGTCTTCTGAGTGCTTGGATTAAAGGCGTGCTATTTCTTACCACACAGCCCCACTGCGGTTTCCTGGAGGATCTCCTGGAAGCTTCACAGGGGCATACTCGAGGCAGGTCTCTCCAGTTAGGTGGAGCAAACACTTGACATGGTAGCTGAATGTCACACTGCCATGGTTCAGGTGACAGGTCGTCCTATGGTAACCAGACTTGGGAGACCTGTCACAAGAACCAAGAAGGTCATCGTCCCAGCCATTGTCAGCATCCCAGACCTGCACCCTCAGGGGTCCGCTCGTGGCCAGGAGCACATTCCCAAAGTCCAGCTTGTCAGTCCACTTGGGGTTGTTATTATTCCACACTGTGGCTGTCCTCAACTCCTGGCCACCAAAGAAGACCTTCACATAGGCATCAGAAGCTGTGAAATAGTCTCCCCAAAGATTCTCTGCCCGGAAATCTGCCACCAGCAACTGGGCCAAGCCCCTTTGGCGTGGACAGCAGTCCTGGTTGGTGACCTTCGAATCTTGGCATATACACTGGCATGGGTCACGAGAACTCTTATGCTGGCCTGCCCTACAGGGCCGGTTACAGTCCCTCCAACGAGCCTTGTTAATCACGTAATGGCTAATAGCCTGTCTCAGCGCTTCCCGCCTTGGGTTCTCATCTTCCACCAGCATGTGCAGGGATTCTAGGCTGTAGTCCACCACACCAGGCTTGCTGGCCAGCGAGGTTACCCAGGTTGAGAACTGCTCAGGTGTGGCCTGGTTCCCAAAGAGTAGGTCATGTGCAGTGGAATCAAGGTGGCCTCCAACGACTTCGACGTGACGCTCTCTGTAGGCCTGGTGGAAAGAGGTGGTCATCTTGTGCTGTTTCTTCTTCTCCTCACAGGCTTTGAATTCGCTTGAGGCACTAGCATGGGCACCGATGCTGACCTGAGCCTCCACGTTCAGGCAGTCTGCCACCTCATCAGCCGTGAGCCCATCCAGAGTCAGCTGACATGTGCGCAGGGCTGTAAGGGCTGAGATGCGACCACCTAGGTCCATAGCTGTAATAAAGTGTGTGCCATAGGAGGATATGAGCCTGTCATAGGCATCCTTTGTGGAGGTATTAAAGTTGGGGGGAAGTTTCCTGAGTGCCCTTCTGAAATTGGGGTCCAGTGGGGGCCTTTGTACCAGGCGAAAACTGTGGGGAGAGTAGAGTGTTAGTGAGACTAGTGGGTGGCATTTTCCTGATTCAATTCAGCCTTCAAGACCCCCTCCCCCAAACACACACAGACATGAAAGTAGTAGAATGGAGCTAGATGGGGCTAGTTGGGAAAAAGAAAGGGTGATCAAAATATATACGCGTAGTGACACCCATTGTTATTTAAAATTAATATATGCTATCTAAAAATGTAAAGTGTGCATAGGAGAGGTAAAAGGGTAATGTATATCAGTGGGTAAAGCTTGCTGCTAAGTCTGCTGACCTGACTAATCCCCAGAACCCACATAGTAGAAACAGAGAAACGACTGCCACAGGTTGTTCCCTGATCTCTGAGCACTCTGCACACTGTCACACACACACACACACACACACACACACACACACACCACACACATTAATATCCACTTAAGCAAGTGAAATAGGAATAGTTTTTAAAAGCCTGAGAAACCAGTGCAAACTATCCGTGTATCCATGCAGTGAAGAGGGAGGACATAGCCAGGTCTTCTATCTCTGTCCCTACCTACGAAGGAGCCCATGGGAGGTTGGCAATGCCTGGGAGAGAGGGCTTAGGTGTTCTCTGCCTGTACCTAACTCTCACCAAGCTAGGGCTCAGGAACAGTCTTGCCTCCTTTATCTCTGGATGTGGGTGCTCATAAACAGAGGAGGCCTGTCCTTCATGGATGGACAAACAGACACACAGACAGACAGATAAGGCTATAGGATCTGCAATCTAAGGACCAGTGCCATGGTTAATCAGTCTTGTCAGCTTGATACTACCTAAAATCACGGGAATCAAAGTAGGGACAGTCTAGTTCAGGTTGACTTGTGGTCATGCCTGTGGGGGATTGTCTTGATTGATGTGGGAAGACTCAGCTTGAAAGTGGAAAGCACCATTTCCTGTTTTTGGTCCTGGACTGTATACGAATAGAGAAAGCTATAGAGTGCTGAGCATGAATGCATTCATTTCTCTCTCATGACTATGCATATGATGTGATCAGCTGCTCCAAGTTCCTGCTGCCTTGACATCATGTGATAATAGACTGTAACCTGGAAGTGTGGCTGAAACAAGCCCTTTCTCCTTAGCTGCTGTTTTAGCAAGGACATTGTATCACAGCAACAGAAATGAATCTAGGGCAGTGGTTCTTGACCTGTGGGTCACGATCCTATGGGGGGGGGATCACATATCAGATATTTACAGTGCAACTTATAACAGTAGCAAAATTATAGAAGTAGCAATGAAATAATTTTATGGTTGGGGTCACTGCAACACGAGGAACTGTATTGAAGGGTCTCAGCAATAGGAAGATTGAGAATCACTGGTCTAGATTTGGTGTCCCCCTGTGAAGAAGTCTGTAGATGGCATGCTGCTATTCCAGGGTTCCTAGACCCTTGGAGTGCCCCATTACTCTTCGGGCTTCTCTGCTGCCACCCAGTTCTTACCTGTACAAGTGACACTCCACAGTGTCAGTATTAAAGTTGTACTGGTCCTGAGAGGTCTTTTCAGCTGCAAAGTTGGCTACCTTGGAATGGGAGCCAGCCATGGACACATGCATGTTTGTCTCAGGCTTGGGGCTCACATCCAGCCCCACACGCCAGTCATTATTGATGTTAGTAGCAGCATCCCGGGCCACGCCCTCTGTGGAGCTGACCTTGACTGTGGCCACTTTACGCTGGCAGCCTGAGCCGTGAGGTCGCCAGTGGGCAATTGCCAGGGGCAGGCGTTGTATAGCATCTCCCTTCAGGGAGTTTTTACAGAGGGTGCAGGTGCCGTCAGGCCTAAGGAAATTCTGTGTATTCACTGGGAAGGAGCCGGAGTGGCGGAGGGTGGTCACGTCTATACCTTCCCCAGCCAGCCATGCACCTGGCACGAACTTGTGCTTCTGCTTGCATTCTGACCGAGTGGCGGTGTAGCAAGGAGCAGGGACGGGTGGTGGCAGCAGCAGGAAAAGGCCCAGAAGGAACAAGTACATGACTATGGAGCTGCGGGTGCAGCTGCCGTGAGCTCTGGAAAGCTGTGGAAAAAAGGGGGAAGGATACTGACCTTATTCACCACTGGGGATCATCAAGGAGATAGACTGACATTCTCTTTAGTTATTGCATGCCAGAGCTGGCCTGGCTCTCACAGGCTTGGTCCAGTATACAGAGAGACCCAGAAAGGTTAAGCATATAGCCCAGAGTCATACAACCAAGAGAAGCCCTGTGCTGAGATTTTACTGTCTCAGACCTAGTGAGAACCGAGATCGATGGCTCTGACCCTGAACAACACTTGATGGGGTGTGGGGACATAAAGAAGGGACAACACATTTATAATAGGCTAGGCTTTGGAGAAGTGTCATTTGCTACCCAGAACAGGGTACATTTTCCTACTTGATTGCCCTCTTCTATCCCAGAGATGGACCCCAGAGCCTTATGCACGATAGGTCAGTGCACTGCCACTGAGCCACACTCTACCTCTTTATTTATTTATTTTGACAGAAGGTGTCATTAAGTTGCTCAGGGTGACTTTGAAGGTACCCTGTAGCCTGGACTAAACCTGAACAGTATGACCCTCCAGAGGCACTAGGATCCCAAGCCTGTGGCCCCAGGCACGGCTTCTAGCTAATTCTCTCCCTGTCTGGAATTTTAGCACTCATTTCTGTCTCTCCCTTACAGATATAGAGAGGCAATAAGTGCCCGTCCTCTCTTTGCACTTCCCATGTGGCTGCTCTGAGCCTCCTGGAAGGACACCAGCACCAGCTCTACAATGAATGATGGCTACCCTGTGTCTACACCCTTGTGAGGGACTTTTAAGTGTGCTCTTGCAAGCCCCTTCCACTGCTCAGGTTTCCGGTCTTGACATTCCCCGCCAAGTTTTTCAGACTTGGACTTATGGCAGGGACAGGCACTTACTTGTTGCCTACTAGAAGGTTCTCCTTGCCTTGAGACAGCTTACAGTCTTACTTTTTAATACCCCGTCATCTCCTTTCCAACTCACTGGTTCTCAACCTGTGTGTCATGACCATCAGAAAACATATTTCTGATGTTCTTAGGAACCCCTAATCATAAATTAGAGTGGTATCTCAGTACCTAAGATCATTGAAAATACGTGTTTTCCAATGGCTGTGACCTACGGATTGAGAACCAATGCTTAATCTCCTTCCAGTGCCCTCAGAGAGTTTTTCCCTCCACTGCCTGCCTCTTCCCTTCCCTCCCCTCCCCTTCCCTTCCCTCTCCTTCCCTCCCCTCCCCTCCCCTTCCCTTCCCTCTCCCTCCCCTTTTGCTTCTCTCTCCTTCCCCTCCCCTTCCCTCTCCCTCCCCTTCCCTCTCCCTCCCCTTCCTTGCATCTTTTGCACCAGGATCTCACTGCCTCTCCAATGGTGGGATCATAGGTATACCCCACACCAGACCTATTTCCATCTTTTAAAGACTCTAAATGCCAGAGCTTGAAATAGTCTTTAAACCGGGGACACTCTTCATTTACGAGTGATCCCCAGAGCGGGCACAAGACTGGTAAGGGTTAGTGATGGACTGAAGGCTGTCAGAAACCCAGGGCTCTGGTTTACCGTCCCAGCACTCTGGCTCCTTCGGGCTCTGCCTCCCAGTTCTCTTTCCCAGGGTATTCCAAGCTCCCTGCCTCCCACCCCTCCTCTCCCCTACCTGAAGTCCCACAGAGATGCTGAAGTGCAGGGCCACCTGCGCTCCCAATGGACGCTTTTGAAACAGTGCTGTGATCCCCAGGCAGGCCCACCCTAGTCATAGTCACATCTCTACTGCTTCCTGCCCTGCCCCCAGACTGTGGTCACAGGTTCCCACCAGCACCCACCCAGTTGTCACCTCCTCATCCGGCCTGTGACAGCCTTCAGGAAGTCAGCTGTGAAGGTCAGGGCCTCATCTGCCAAGTAGAGGTGTTGAGGTGTGGGACTCTGGTGTGGACCAGCAGGCCAGCTGACCATTCTCTGATTCTGTTCTGCATGTATAAGACACCAGGAACTGTCAGTTGCTGAGAGTGGCCTGAGCTTGAGTGGCTTTGGCCTCTTCTGTCTCAGCTCCTCATCCAAAACTGGATAATCGCAATGTCCCGGGAGAGGGGACATGAAGATGAGGTGCTGTTTAGAATCAGGCTTGATCTTCACTCATTCTCAGTACATGTGACTGTCCCCTCCTCCTTGGGTAGTGGGGAGAGATGTTCACAACTGATGCCCACTTCCTGTCCATACCTACATCCCAGCCCTGCCCCAGGTTTGAGCAAGCTCGTACTGTTGAGAGCTAGGAAGGAATGAGAGCCTGTCGCCCGCTCTGCCTTGCCTGAGGTTAGAGCGGGGAGGTTTCCATGGGTGGAGTGACTCACAGGCACCTTCTAGGGCCAAAACCAAAGTCGCAATGGTTATGAGGTGGGTAAAAGTGGGCAAGGGGGGCTAATTCTCAACCCCTTCAAGTGCGTACGTGATGGGAACAAGTAGCCGCAGACCCCAGGCCACATGGTAACATCTCACCCTGGCTTATGCCGCCTTCTCAGAACCTGGCCTCATCTTCTGTTACTCTCCCAGAAATTGCAGCTGCCCCTGTCCCATGCTGGTGCTATGCCCAAGTGACCTGATCAGGATGCCAAACTAAGGGGTATTTAGTCCCTAACCATGATGGAAGGACAGTGTGAGAGGTGTAGATAATAACTGCATGAAACCTCCAGGGAAAGGGTCGAGAACCTAACAGGCTCTAGTTCAGTTACACCAAACCCACTCTCTGCAGTCGTTCTTAGCCCCTTTGTAGTCCCAAATATGCTCATCTATGAAATCAAAGTGTGGGGTGGGTGCTGGGGATATAGCTCAGTGGTAGAGCACTTGCCTAGCATGTGAAAGGCTCCACATTTCACCTTCAGTGCTATGGTCATTATCCTTACTATTATCAATGATCACACTATCACCACTACTATTTCACCATAATCATTATCATTATCACATCACCATCACCACCGTCTTCATCAAATCATCACCATCAGCATCTCCATCACAGCAATGTCATTATTACCATCATCATGTTTCTGACATCACCATCATATGTATCACCACCACCGTCATCCACTGACATAATCCCCAGGAAGCCTTTGTCTTCTTAAGAATCCTTTCAGTCAGGGCAGCTCACATCTGTGACTCCAGTTCCAGGGGTTCTGACACTCTCACCCAGCCATACATGCAGGCAAAACACCAATGCACATAGATAAATCACACACACACACACACACACACACACACACACACACACACACACACACACACCCAAGGAATCCTTCCGGCAAATGACAAGATGCCACTGGGGATGCCCTTTAGAGAGCCATGATGGTACCAATGCTTCTGACAGTTCTGGGCTTGTATACTCGATGAGAGTTGTCTTGTCAGTTGAAATGTGTACCAGTATAGCTTTTCCTCAGAGATACGAGTTTCAACTGTGTTGAGATGTAATTCTCCTGCCCTCCACAAACCAATTGAAAGTATTTGATCTCATGGTTTTTGCTATGCTCAAAGGGCTGGCTGTCTATCTACCACACAGCCAACTTTAGACTATTTCCACCACTCTGCCAAAGAAACCCTGCGCTCACTTGCCAGCGAGTTTTTCATTTTCCCTTAATACTAGCCCTAATTTACATCTCTGGATTTTCCTATTTTCTTACTGTTCTGGTTGTTCTTTCTTTGTCATCTGGGAAGGGGACCCTCAAATGAGAAAACATCTCCATCAGATTGCCTGTAGACAAGTCTGTGGTGCTTTTTCTCAATTAATGATCCATGTGGGAGAGCCCAGTCCACTTGTGGGTGGTGACACCCTTGGGCTAGTGGTCCTGAGAGTTGTATTAAAAATGCAGGCTGAGCAAGCAGTAAACAGCCCCTCCATGATCTTGGCTTCAGCTCCTGCCTCCAGATACCTGTTTTGAGTTCTTGCCTTGGTTTCTCTCAAAGAACTGTGACTCTGGATATGTAAGTGACTCTGGATATGTAAGCCAAACAGACCCTTTCCTCCCTAAGCTACTTTTGGCCATGGTCTTTATCACAGCAATAGAAACCTAACTAGGACATTGATTTTCACATAAGTAGAATCATGCGATATGACTGTTTCTGTCTGACTTATTTTGCTCAGTACTTTCAAGCTTTATGAAGTTGTAGCGTGTGTCAACTTTTCCACGGCTGAATAATATATGGTCATATGGGCATACTACATTTGTTTATCTATGCATTGGTTGATGGTTATATTTTCCCACTTACTCATTATTATGAATGCTGCTGCTATGAATATTTTTGTACAAATTTCTTGGTGTGAACACATGCCTCATTTCCTTCTGTTTATGCCTAGGAGTGGAATTGCAGGGTTATGTGGTAGCTTCCATTTTATTCTTATAGGAACTGTTTTCCCAAGTGGCTAAAGCATTTTCCATTCCCACCAGTGGTGTGTGAGGGCTTGCCCACGCATTCCCACCCTTTCGATTGTCTGACTATGCTACCCTAGTGGACATGCTCTTTTGATTCCTCTCAGGGTTAATGCTAATATCTCAAACTGGGACGAACGGCTGAGGTGCTTGTTTAACATACCAGTGCGGATGCTGGCTGCCAGGCTCTCCCTGCAGTCTCTACCTGTGTTAGAGGGCCCACCCCCTACCCTAAACTCCTCCAGCCCATGGGCTGGGCTTCCCTCCGCCATAATCCACCCATTCTAGTTACCTGTTTTTTGTGTTTTTTTGTTTTTGTTTTTGTCTACTGTTTTGGGCCTCTGGCTGCTGCACATGGTTACCCTCTCTTCTACCCCAGCTCCCAGCATGGTCCAGCTCAGCCTGGTCATGCCCACTCTGGACGCTCTCAGATGTCCCTGTCTCTGACTATGCTCTCCCACATATCTAAACTTTCTCCTCCATCACACCTAGGAGCAGTCCTGTCCTTTCCTTCCTTTCTTATCTTTTATTTTTCTTCATTCAGTTTAGAGATGTGTGTGTACTTTTGCATGGCTTGTGGATGAATATATATATATATATATATATATATATACATACATA